AACCAAAAACGAACATTTGCTTTTATTATGCATATAATAAAGACTTATTGTGTAATAAACCTCAGTAATAGCAGCAGTATTTGTGACTTTGTCACCAAATAGTAGATATTTTCATAACAAGTTATAGTGGTTGCAGATATTTCAAAATATCATTTATACTAATCACTGCTTTAAAATTATGATAGATATTACTCCTGTCACTGATGCTTGCTATTTCATATATTCATAAAATCACATATATTACTATGCCACAAAGTTGCTTTTAAAAATATTTTGATAACAGTATTTCAAGATAATTATCTCCTATTGCAATCTCAGTTATTTGTTTTATATATTCTGAGAAAAGATTCCTATAATCCCACTTCCAAAAGACTTTAAGTCAGGATCCCAAAGAGATATTTGCATTCCCACTGCAGCTCTATTCGTAATAGCCAAGCTATAGAAACAAATGTCCATCAGTGGATGAATAGATAAAGAAAATGTCACACACACAGACTCACACACACACCCCTAAAACGGAAGGAAATCTTGCAATTTGCACCAATATGAATGGAATCAAGGGGTCATTGTGAACAAAAAGCTAACTGTGTCAATGGAATACATTACAGAGAAAAAGTTAAAAAGAAGTGTTGCTACTCCGTGTGACCTGACATACCATGTTTATTTCTTATGAGTGGGAAGGAAATATTAAATTAGTCTAGTGAGGGAACTGGGAACAGAACAGTCATTTTTTTCTGAAATAATTGAGATATTCAGTCTATCCCATTCCAGTCCCCTTACCTAAAATATGGTCAAGTTATTGGGAAATGCTTTGGGGACCTAATGCTTGGCTCCCACAGCTTTTCTCTAATTTTGGGGTCTTTCAAGTATGTTTTATTTTCAGGGAACTAAAAAGAATGAGGACTGGGACTGATGACTCCTCTCAAATGCTATGATTGAGAAAGCAATAAGGCAAGGTAAAGAGAGTGTGGGAGATGTGGTTGGATGCAAAGAGAGGGAGAAAGAAGAAATCAAGAAATTTCACCTGATGAAAAGCTGAAAGCATTTCCATTAAGATCTGGAACAAGACAAGGATGTCCACTTTCACCACTGCTTTTCAATATAATACTGGAAGTCCTAGCCAGAGCAATAAGGCAAGAGAAAGACATCCAAGGAATCCAAATAGGAAAAGAAGAAGTCAAACTATCACTATTTGCAGATGATATCATAATATACATAGAGAACCTCAAAAACTCCACAGATAAACTAATTCAACTCATCAATCAGTTCAGTAAAGTGGCAGGATACAAAATCAACACGCAAAAGTCAGTAGCCTTCCTATACACAAACAATAAATCTGAAGAAGAAGAAATAAAAAAAACCATCCCTTTTATTATCAAAACAAAAAAAAATCAAATACTTGGGAATAAATCTAACAAAAGAGGTAAAGGACCTATACAAAGAAAACCATAAAACACTGTTAAAAGAAATAGAAGAAGACACAAAGAAATGGAAAGACATCCCCTGCTCATGGGTTGGAAGAATAAACATTATTAAAATGGCCATCCTACCAAAAGCAATATACTGATTCAATGCTATTCCAATCAAAATTTCAATATCATTCTTCAAAGAAATAGAACAATTATTGATGAAATTCATATGGAATCACCAAAAACCCCTAATAGCCAAAGCTCTCCTGAAAAAAAAAAGAAGGGAATGGAGGCATCACACTCCCAGATTTCAAACTATACTACAAAGCCATAATCATCAAAACTGCATGGTATTGGAACAAGAACAGACACACAGACCAATGGAATCAAATAGAAAATCCAGAAATAAACCCACAGATTTATGGTCAACTAATCTTTGACAAAGGAGCAAAGAATATGCATTGGCGCAAAGAAAGTTTGTTCAATAAATGGTGCTGGGAAAACTGGGTCACTACATGCAAAAGAATGAAGCTTGACTAACTACCTCACACCATACACAAAAACCAACTCAAAATGGATTAAAGAACTAGACATAAGACCTGAAACCATAAAATACATAGAAGGAAATATAGGCTAAACACTCCATGATATGCACATCAAAGACATCTTTACAGACACATCACCCAAAGCAGTGATAGTGAAGGCAAAGATAAACAGCTGGGACTACATCAAATTAAAGAGCTTCTGCACAACAAAGGAGACAATAACAAAAACAAAGAGAAACCCCACCAACTGGGAGAACATTTTTGCACACAACACTAATGATAAAGGACTGATCACAAAAATCTACAAAGAGCCGAGGAGACTCAACAACAAAGAAAATAATCCAGTTAAAAAATGGGCACAAGAGCTAAAAAGAAACTTCTCTGAAGAGGAAATGCAAATGGCCAACAGGCATATGAAAAAATGTTCAACATCACTTGTAATCAGGAAAATGCAAATCAAAACTACCATGAGATACCATCTTACACCAGTGAGAATGGCACATATTAAAAAAACTAGCAACAACAAATGTTGGCGAGGTTGTGGAGAAAAAGGAACTCTCCTGCACTGTTGGTGGGAGGGCAAACTGGCCCAACCACTATGGAGAACTGTGTGGAGATTTCTTAACCTACTAAACATAGAGCTTCCATATGATCCAGCAATTCCACTCCTAGGTATTTACCCAAAGGACACAGAAACAGCAATTCCAAAGAGCACCTGCACCCCTATGTTTATAGCAGCACTATTTACAATAGCTAAGCTTTGGAAACAACCCGAATACCCAAAAATAGATGACTGGATCAAGAAGATGTGGTACATATACACCATGGAATATTACTCAGCATTCAAAAAAGATAAACACATGCAATTTGCAGCAACATGGATGATGCTGGAAGGGATCGTGCTCAGCGAAATAAGCCAGAATGAAAAAGAAAAATACTGGATGGTCTCACTCATAGGAGGAATCTAGAAAACTTAAATAAGGGACCAGGAAAAAGAATAACTATAAGAAAGTAAAAATCAAAATCAACAAACAACTATGAACCAGAGACACTCTATGGGGGTTGGGATTAGGGAGGGGAGGGATTGGGGTCAAAATAAGGGGGTCGCAATTGTATGGGGAATATAAAAATAAAATTTATAATAAAAGAACAAGAAAAAAAAAGAAATTTCATCTGAAATGAGTTAGCGATACTTGTGGCTTTGTCTCATTTGCTTGTGCACTCCATAAAAGAATTTTGAGATTCTTTTTGAGTTGATATCTAAAATTTTATCAAAGTTAAATTGTTGCAGAGTGCATATACTAGATGATGTATTGAATATCATAGCCATGATTAAAATATATTTTCATCAAAACTTCAGGTCTGCAGATTCAGCTCATTAAATTTATCGAGTGTCCATCATACAAATTAATTGGCAAAGCCAATCCTTCTTGTTAATCCATTCTGCCAAGTTGGTCTTACTTTCTCTCAGGAAAAAAAATCTTATTTCAATTTTTAATTCAAATAAATGTGTTAATACGCAACCCTTTGGGACCTTCTTGCTCTGAATTCTGAGAAATAGAGGAAGGAAAGAAGAGAATGGAGGAAGGTAAAAGAAAGAAAAAGCCTTGTCTGGAGTTTTTCATCTCCCTTCAAGATTTCTTTCCCAAGTTCTGCTTTTCTCTCAAGGGGCTCTCCTCAGGAAGAAGCGTGGTGCTTTCCAGGAGAAAGTATCTCGCTAGGACTATGGTGGGCGAAGGACATGCTTTTTTTTGCTAAGTAGGAAAAAGACTATTGTGGAAAAACAGTCCTTGTGTCATGATCCGAAGCAGATTAATTTCAAAGAAGAGTATATTCGGAAGTTGAAGACTCGGTAGTTGACTCCCCAAAGGTATTCCTGTCTATTTTCCCCTTGGAAAGCCTTCATGCTCCAGGGCAAACACCTGGATCTCGGTTTAAGGAGTCCTGAGCTAGTTCAGCTCCATCACATTTACTGCAGTTTGCCCAAGTTCATCTTGATAATTAGTGCTGGAGACTAGAACAATCTGTTGGTCCTGAACTCTTCCTGCCATAACACATGCCACTGCCTCCCGGTGGCCACGGGCCGTTGGAATGGGGTGGGTGGGGTGCAGCACTCTCATCGCTTGGAATCACCCAAGTTCATTTGGATGCTGCTGCTGATTTATCTTTGTAAACTCTACATTCTCAATCAGCCAATTTTTTGTTTCACAAAACATGGAATATTCTGGGTGTTTCCCCCCTCTTTTTTTCTGAAAAGACAAACTCTAGAAAATTTGTTCTGTGGTCCTGCAGGGAAGGAGGGAAACACAGCTTCTCATTTCCATGCAGTCCTAGCCATTGAGCAGCAGCGTGGAGCAAACGCCTCTTTTGGAACCCAGGAGTCGTTTATGTCTGGCATGCTCAGAGGGAGAGAAAAGATGAGCAAACAGACTTCTCCAGGTCTCGCTTCCACACCCCACCCCACTGGAGTGAGAAGGGAGAGCTACATCAGTAAACTAGTTGGACCAATTGCATTTCCCCCGCAGGCACAAATTTGCATGGAAATTGCTGCTCTGTGCAGGCAGCCCTCCTCTAAACATTTCACCCAAAGAATTATACCCAACAGGGGAGATTGCCCTCTGGGCTGTATCTCTGTTGGATCAGGAAAGTGAATTCCTTGATGAGAAAGAACTTGCCTTGAGTCTTCAGATTCAGAAATTACCAGCATGACATTCAGCAAAATTTATCTGTCTCTTGAGTTTCCGTGTAATTGTTGTGAGTGCTGGGTTAGGAGTTATGGGGATGGGAGGTGGGTTAGGATGTTTGCTCTTGTCTTTATGATCAGAGGAAGTGTTACCGTTTCTCTCCGAATGTTCCCATATGGCATGCACAGGTGCTGACTGTACTCCAGGGTTGGAGGAGGAGCAAAGTGGGAGTGGGGTGGAGAAGTGCAGGCAAAATCACGCGAGACTGCTCGCCTCCTCCCTCAGGTGGCTCACCCATCCTGGGTGGACCTCCCTTTTACTTCATGGCCCCAAGTCTTTCCTTTCTCCTGCCTCAATTTCAGGATGACATCTGATCTCTGGTAGATGCCCCTCAGGATGGACTGAGTCTGCTGGAGCTTTTCCTAGGGCACAGTCTCCTGCATCTCCATGGTGGAATGAAAAGGTTGGCCTGAGATTTCAGCCACTGTGAACAGGTGGGTTCATTTTTATTTTTATTTTTTTTATTTTTTTATTTGTTTGTTTGTTAGTTCGTTTTGTTTATACATGCACTGGGTACAGTCAGAAGCGCGGGAGGGTGAGAGAATTCACCAGAGCGGGGAGCAGAGCAGGCAGAGAGACCGAAGTACACTGCTGAGGGGAGCAGCGGGCGGCAGGAGAGGTCTGCGCGCCATGTGGGACCCTCCTCCGGTGGCCGGGGAGCAGCCAGGGATCGAACCGGCGCCGCAGAGGTCGCCGGCAGCTTTGCAACCCAGCGCTCAACCGCTGCGCCACCGGGGAGGCCCAGGTGGGTTCATTTTTAGTTTGTGTTGTATGTTGTGGTAAATCTCAGTATGTAGATCATGTCTACTCTCTCTAGACTCAAGATTGGCCTTGTTTATTGACATCTTAGTCTTGTGACTAAGAAATTGAGAAGACTCTAGGAAAAGTGGCATGAAAATGCTTTTGTATTAGTGGAGAGTTGGTTATGGAGCTGCTGGATAAATATTCAGAATTCCCTCAGAGAGATTCCAGTCACAGGTGTAGTTCCTCAAACAGGAGATCATAAGGGGGTGGCAAGCACCACTGCCTGCTCACTCTGAGGAGAGAGGGCTCTAGCCTTAGCAGTTTCATGTTTGTGATGTGGAGCTGGGGGCATTTGGGAAGTGGAGTGGCTGGGCAGGAGAAGCTAATAGAACACTTCCAGAATTCAAAGAGAAAACATAGCATATGTATGAGGCAGTATCAAATAGGGCTGGAAAAATAAATTCAAGCATGAACCTTTGAAATATTAATTTTTCAAAAGTACCCCCAGGGACAGGGAGTATTAGATGACTTTTAACGCAAAGTTTAAAAGTTTTACTCATTTTGATTTTTCATAAATTGTTTTGTTTGATTGGGAAGGCTGGTATTTTTATATAATCATTATAATGGAATTTTGATAGGAGGTTGGCCTTGGAGAAAGGAATGAGGGTTTAGATTGAGGGAATTAGGATGACGTGAGCCAGAAGAAAGCAGAGAAACATCAAAAGGAAGAGGCAGAGGATGCAGTGAGAGCAAAATCTTGAACACACTAATGAAAGGAAAGAAGCTGATTTAGCTTTTGGGCATCAGGCAGGGCTTCAAATAGATATATGGAAACCACAGATAGATGGAGGTCCATACTCAAGGGAACACAGAGTCTAAAAATATACCCAAATCATCGGTAACATTTTTATTATTTATTTTTTAAAAAGATTTATTTTTTATTTATATAATAACTGGGGTATAAGCCAGAGGCGCGGGAGGGTGAGAGGATTCAACAGAGACAGAGTAGGGAGCAAAACAGGCAGATTGACCGAAAGCACTGCTGAGGGGAGCAGTGGACACTACAGGAGAGGTCTGCTGCGCCATATGGGCATTTCCCTAGCCAGCCAGGAATTGAACCCACTCTGCATAGACTGCAGACAGCTTTACAGCGCTGTGCTCAACCAGCTGAGCCACCGGGGAGGCCTATTTTTTATTTTTTAAAGATTTATTTATTTATGCATACAAGAACTGGGGTACAGGCCAGAGGCGTGGGGGGTGAGAGGATTCATCAGAGACAGAATGGGGAGCAAAACAGGTGGATCTACTGAAATACACTGCTGAGGGGAGCACCAGGTGAGACAGACGAGATCTGCTGCACCATGTAAGTCAGCTCCCTGGCTTGAGATTGAACTTGTGCTGCAATGGCTGTGGATAGCTTCATAGTGCTGTAACTTAACACCTTGTGCCACCAGGGAGGTACTCGTCAGTAACATTTTAAAACTGAGAGCCTTTACATGAAAAATCTGGGTTTCTGACTTCTTTCAAAACCAGAGGGGCTGCACCACTGACCTTAATTCTCCCTGGTAATAACTGGGGAAAGCTGAGAGAGGCTGGCTCCTTCAGTAGGATGGGAGCCCTGCAGCTTGCAGATACATTCCTGATTTCTGCACTCTTGTCACCTCGCTCACTCACATTACTTGCTCTGCCTATGTGACACTTAGTTTGCAAGCTCGGGACCCAGCCTTTCTTGCCCTGGGTGTGGGAAGCTGGCCCATTGTCTAGATTCCTGAGGGAACAACTGGTCACCTCTCATGTTCCTATTGACTTCTCTTGCCATAGTCCTCAGTGTAAAGGATATTGGCCCTGGCAGCTCCTCTTTGTTCTTATCACCCCCTTCCAGGGCAGGCTAACTTTTCTAGGTGTGGATCTGTAGTATAGAATGGTGGGATGGAAGGCTGAGCCTTAAATGAGGCAGGGTGTGTACCTGGATTGTGTTGCTATAGTACATAAACCAACTTTTTGGAGTCTGCCTCTAGGGAATCTGCCTGAATCAACAGTCATTCTGTTAACTCCCAAGTACCTTCCTCTGCTTAACACTTCTTGCTACCTGCATTACATCGTCTTCATTTTCCTTTCTGGGTTTTAGCCCATCAGATTATCATGCTTCAGGGAAAGCTAACAAAATGCAATGACTATGAAGGAATAAGCAAATGGCATGTAACATGATAGTATAATGTAAATGGTAATGAAATATCATGTGAATGGTGCTTGAATTGCTTAGAGAGGAAAGATTCCCATGGGACAGAAAAGATGTTCTATTGAGCACCAAAGAGATGGAGTTGTAGACATTTAGAAAAAGTCCTTCAGGAGAGAGGTCCCTCTACATCTGCATTGGTCAATGTCTGCTGCTGATGTCTGTGGCTCTTAGTGGGTAAAGAGACCACATTACATTGGATATCAGGAAAGCCTGGAAAATGTGTCAAAACACCAGGGAGGACCACACAGAGGGCGGTCACAGGGTCTGTTGAATGTGTTTCTGATCAGAAATGGGAAATGGTGCTTGAAAGGAGTTTGGCAGCCTTAAACACAAATGCTGAATAAATAACTTCTGTAAGAATTAATGTGATACACTGTTGATGGGAATGTAAATAGGTAAAACTATTATGGAAAGTGATCTGGATTTACCTTAAAAAAAAAAAAAACAACTGAAATTGGAAACACTGTATCATCCAGCAATCAACTCATGACATCTATCTAAAAAACATAAAACCATCAGCTCAAAAAAATTACATGCTGTACAGTGTTTTTTGTAGCTTTATTTTAAGAGCCCACTGATAGGGGATTGGATTAGGAAGATAAGGTATATCCACACATCAGAATCATAAGGAAAGACAAAATGCTGCCATTTACAGCAAAATGGAAGTAGTAAAGTAAATCAGGCTGGCAAAGACAACCATTGGATGTTTACATACCAGCCAATTCAATGAAGCAAAATACTTACAAAAACTAGTGGGCACTAACAAAGAAAGTGAATTTTCTGAAACTAGGAGGGAAGGGGATGGGAGGAAGTTTAAAATTTTTAAAAATTTATTAATAAATCTATAAGAAGAGTAATTGTCCTGAACTTTAAATAGTTCTAGAGGAGCTGCGAAAAGTAAATGTATGAATTACATAGTTTTCCAAGAAAGTTTTGCGTCTAAGAATATACATGTGGGTGAGGTGAAAACTCAGAGCCATGTCTTATTAACTGAACTATTTTCTCTTCATATATATGGTACTATGAAGTCTGTTCTTTGGCATTTTTTAAAATAAACATATTCCTGTACCTTTACATAGTAAGATAATTCCCCCTCCCTCTCCTTGTGGTAGGATATCATAATGTGTTAATAAGCATTGCAGGCACTAAGGTTAACCTGTACAGGATACCTGAATTCAAATCCTGTCTTTGCAACTTAATAGCTGTTAATCTTGGAGATATTGCCCAAACACTCTAATTCTAAAATGAAGATAATACGTAATCCATTGGGCTATTGTATTAAACAATAAATATACCTGTATGGGGTATTGTGTATGGGGATTAAATATATAGATAAACTACTCGATTTAATATAGGGACCTACTTAGTCTCAATAATGGTGACTTTTAAAAAATGGTGATGATTTGTGTTGCTCTTTCTGAAACTGCTTTTGGAAGGCCCCTGATTCTCTGGGTCAAACTAATTATCAGCTTCCTGGTTGCTCTTCCCAAAGTTCTATTGACTGACCTCCGCCCAGCCTCTCCCCCTGCTATCTGGCTTCCTCTGCTGGACTGTACAGACAGATCTAGACTCCTGACAACAGCCCGCAGGCCTCTAAACACTGGGTAGCCTTTTGTTTCCTTTGTCCTTCCTTCGCCCTGGTTCTTGGTGTTACACTGACATAAATGCCCTCATCATGAGGGGTGAGGACACACACCCTCACCGTTGTTCAGTGCTCCCAGCCACCTTCTCCTCAGCCAGCTTCTGCTATCCAGCCATTTCCCCACCCCCGTCCTACCTTGTCTTAGTGAATCTCTGCCAGCCAGGCACCCCATGTCTCTCCTGAGGTGGAGCACTGTTTCCCCAGACTTCCATTTAATGGAGAGTAAGAATTTTGATGCTGCAAAAAGTGACCTCTGAATCTGCCCTCCAGTTTGGAATGAAGATTTACAAGGGGGAACTCAAGAGTTAGATTATCCTTCTCAAAAAGCTGAAGAATTTGCCAGGGGGCACAGGCATATCATCTGTTATTTTGGCCTGATTTGATATTATTTGTTTCTGAAATATTCCTAAAATGTGCATATGTGAATAATAAAAATATAATAAATATAAATATATATATATATATATATATAGCAATTGATTATAGTACACTATTAATATATATTTTCTCCCTATCTAAACATGACAGAGCCAATGAAAGCTACCCGGTCAAACTGAACTGTACCCTCTTAGCTAAGGAGTATTAGCTCTCCTCACTGTAAACACAGTTGACTCCCTACCCTTGGTGGAGTGTATTTTGCAATGCATGTTTACTTTCTGCCATTTAATCTAATGGCTGATATAAGGCCATGAAATTATGGTTCTAGAGTTGCATCAAAAGAACACAAGTAAAATAACACTATTGGTGTTTGTGTTGGAGGAAATGTCAAGGACGTGGCTAGGGAAGAGCAGTCCATTGGGGATGGGTGG